TTCCAAATTCTTCAAAAATTCATCATTTTATTTAATGAACGTTTACACCCACATGAATGACTGTCTGGCGGCCACTCTAGTGTGACGGACAAAATTTATTGATGCCTGAGTATTTCAACCAGGCCTGCAGCCTTGTAAAAAGAACCCATAGTGTGCGGTGTTATATAATTTTCTTTTGTTCTCGAAACCGGCACAGTGCACTGGTGGCATCTTTTCAATACGGGGCCACATGAGCATGCAGCGATATTGCATCACTCATCACTGGAGTGCTGGAGAGCTTTCGTCCCCGGTGGTAATCTGCTTGCACTGAATGCCACAAATAGTGGTATAATGTTTCAAAACAAGGACGGATTTCCTCCGATCTTGACAACTGAAAAAATGTTGGTAATCCCCAGCAACTCAGTCTTTTGTGCCGAGCACGGTCTTTTGTTACAAGGCCAAGCTCATTTGTCCGGTTTCAGGCTCCCCGGCTTTGTGTATGAAGCCCATTTGCTCTAAAACGGGTCTCCCGGTAGCAACAGGATAAAGCATTAAACTGGCCTTCCTCCTGGCCGTGACTACTTCCAGAAGGGGATGTGAGTCCTCGCCATTGGTGAGGGACATCTACGATGGGAGCCATACGGTGTCATGGGAGCCACATGGTATCTGCTTCATTCCCTCTGTTGACTTCCTCACTAAAAATCACACTGCTTTTTTGGATCCGCTTGACATTTTTGTACAAACAATTGCTTCACATGCAGGAGATGGTGAGGACAAACACTGGTGCCCAATTCATGTGCTAAAGTGGTATCTCGCCAAGACCAAGAATCTGATAGGTAGAGTTTCCAAACTATTTATTACCTCCACCAAACCACATCACCCAGCAGCAAAAGACACCGTAGCACACTTGATAGTCTCGGCCATTAAATTTATCAACCCAAACTGGCCATCACACCCTGATGACCCTTGCAAACACTATATCAGAGCACATGATGTTAGAGCAGTATCTACGTCTTGGTCTTACTTTTCTGGGATTTCCACTGCAGACATCTGTAAAGCTGCATGCTGTAAGTTGCCCTCTACATTCACCTCCTGCTACCTAATGGATGTCATGCAGAGCATGAAGGACACAGAAGGAGTTTGAACTGCCCGGGCTATAACATCTGGCCAATTACTGCTTTCTGTCCATAGCCAGAGCGCAGTGCATGCCTGAGTGCATGCCTGCTACTCACCACCTGTTTTGCAACCATAAGCCCCCTTTGTACCCCATGATCATCGGCGCAATTTTTCATTGGTAACCTGCATCCCTAAAATATTGTGTACTGCAGCATATGAAGTTGAATATTCATACCATCGTTGGTACTTGATATGATCTGACAACAACATCAAATTTACTGCTTGTGCAGTTGCTTTTATTAGGCTCTGTACCCAAAGTGTTCATGTGCGGTTGTTGCCCTTATCGAACACTGTCTTCTGGACTTCTTTGGGAATAAATAGCCAAGCTGTTTGTAAGATTTTGAGTTTTATTTGAATCATTTTTATTACGGAATTTACACAAAAAGGTATTTTAAGAGATCTCATGATCACTCCCTGTGAAGAAACAGCGCATTTTGTTTTTCGTTAACTATTCTGTGGTGTTCAACATGTTGTTGGCCAGTCCTAGCCAAAGTCATACAAACACTTTGAAAACTGATGTTTTGGAGTGACAAAATAAAATTACAAACATATGCATGGATAATGGAAAAGGGCATCAAAATCTTTAAAAATTATTCAAAACAGCTAAAGTAAATCTAGGCCCTAATGTTAGATATTTTTCTTTCTGTTTCCTGGTCACTGCGATAAGTTGTAGTTAATTCTAAAGGAAACATCTCAAATTTTGTTATGATATTACTGGCCCCACTTGTCCGGCTATTAAGCTGCAGGCAGTAATCAGGAGTTTTTGGAATGTTGTTCGTCTGACTGGGCGGTGATGATCATTAAGCACTTTGATGTGCCAGAGTTGTAACTCCTTCTGTGTCCTTCCTCCATGTGCAGTGCAACTCCGCACATGGGAAGACAATTCTACTATTGGCAGCACGAAAGTCTCAGGAGTTGCCTGTACAGGGACAGTCAGCTTGAAGATCCTTACTCAATGATTTCACTATATATTGCTCCTTAGTTTAGTAGAAACTATTATAACGAGGCCTTTTGAGCCTTACAAATTACCTTGTTATAATAGTTTTCTTGTATTAACAGTGCTCTTTTTATCTGTGTTCAACTGTACACCACTTAGTGCATATTCCTGTGCTCATGACATTTACTTTCAGATAGGTTGGTGCCACTCTGCATATGTAGTGACTGTTTGGGTTGGTAGGGCACCGTAGACTCTTCCCCTACCTAAACAGTTCTTTCCTGCCCCTCCTCCCCACCTTTGGCTCTGACCCTTTTTGAGTCGCTTTCAAAAAAGACGATCATGGCGGCGAAACCGTGTTGCATTGTAAGAGGTGAGGGTGCACAATGGATGATCAGATCTTTCCAGCGAATAATAAATAGTAGTGCCCATTTGGATAGGTAAGCGTGGGTAGTAGACCCAACCCACATTTATTGTGAGGGGAGGAAATGCCTTTCCCGGGTAATTGAAACTGAATTGGGGAGCCTGCGCCGTACACAAAAAAACTAAGGGTATTAACCACTTTGTGCCGGGATGTCCAGTACACAGTGGTTTAAAACCCTACTTGACCCTGACATCAGTGAATACTATCAGATTTTTTTACTCACATCAATTAAAACAATTTAGCAAGTCTTTTGAACTTATTTGGAGTCCTCATGGGTTTTAAATTTGGCTACAGAAAGACATTTTTGCAATGGATGCATTGGCAAAAGTGCATTATTATTGATCTCCATGAGTGAAGGCACCCTCTATTGACAGTTAGTTAAAATTCTGGAAAGAGCACACATGCACCCTGTGGCTACTGCACTTTTGGAAAAAATCTGTAACCATTTTTAAGAGATGATCACCTCAGTTTGGAAGTGAGATCATTATGCATCTGTATTTAATTGCAACGTAACTGGAAAGGAAGGGGGAAATGATGAAAAAAAATCATGTGACTTCATTTCACTGTCACTTAATGTTCTTTGAATTTATAGAATTTAAAAAAATGGCAAGGAATTTTTCTTTATTTGAGAGGTGTTATTTCAATGCAGCAAGTTCCTCACTTGGTCTTTGTCCCTCTTTCATTGAGCATTTTAGTGGTTGAAAGTATGATGTAATCTGAAAAACTGAACAAGTTGCCTTTTCCCAATGACCCTTTCCCATTCAATCATGTTTTTCAATTCTTCCTAAAGAGGTAATATTCATTGGGTGACTGTTCCCTTAAAGTGTGCGTGAAGTCAGGGTATGGAATTATGTATGTATTTTGCTGGTGATCTCAATGAAATTGGCCTCTTTTGTTTAACCCATGATTTTCCTTTCAATTTTTTTTCAATTATCAAGTTGAAATAGACCGTGTTTCTTTCCATTGAGGTACATGTACCTGTAGTGCCTCCCTGCTCTATCATGATTTTATCTGAAAAAAAAACCCATTAATTTCAGTATTATTTATTCCTCAGAAGTCTTTGTCAAAAGTTTTAACATTTCCATTGAAATAAAATGCCGCAAAATGTGTGGAAATATTTCACAATTGAAGAGCTGAGTTCCAAATCAGATGTCCTATTTAGCCAGTCAATAGGCAGCTTAAAAAACACTCTTATCCGCTATTCCAGGCCATGACACAACACAGAGTCTGAGATAAGCCATGAGCAGATAGAAATGCATCATCGTTTGGCGTGTTTATATAACAACTTTTACAAAAAATATCTTTTCACCCTCCAGCGTCCGTCGGGATCGACAATTGACATTACCCCTGACAAAAAGCTACATTTCTTTCAACTACTTTTCAGTTTAAATTCCACCTAAGCTGTGTTATAAGCCTCAAATTACACTGAGCAATCACCTTCAGTATACTCTACATGTCTCAACAATAGAGGGCGCTGTGCATTGTGCTCAAAACAATGTCAAGTCCTGCAAAATGATTTTTGGGCACAATAAATGCATTGCGCGACTCTTCCGCTTGATTATATTTGTAGGCCGATTGTAAAAATGTATCAACAAACATATGTTGATGTATATTTGTCTTGTTTGGTACATTTTATAGTTTACTGCAAAAGGTAATTGCGAATTTCTGCAATCTATTCAATTTTTTCGAAAGCAAATTTATATCAGCTGAAAGAGCTAAGCTAAGGTGCGTACTTCAGTTAAATATACCATAAAATTATCACAAAACAAAATAATTTTTGGTGAACATTATCTCATTAGATACTAGTGGACTTATCAAAAGCATAATATAAGGGGGAAAAATGTTTGCACTGTCTGGGTCTTAAACCACTGTGCTCTACCAGGTACCTTGGGTTTATACGCAGAGCCCGAAATCAGGTAAAAGAGCTAGGTCTTGCAACAAAAGTTCGTACTCGGAACAAAAGACCAGGCTGCTGAGAATTGCCAATATTTTTTCAGATGTCAATAGTAGAGGAAATCCATCATTGTTTTGAAAGACAATACCACTGTTTGTTGCTTCAAATTCAGTGCGAGTGGATTACCGCTGGGGACAGCAGCACTCCAGTGATAAGTGATACAATACTGCTGCACGCTAATCTGGGTCGTATTGAAGAGACTCCAGCAGTGCACTGTGCCAGTTTCGGGAACGAAAGAAAATTATGTAACACCACACAATCTGGGCTCTTTTTACTAGGCAGCAGGCCTGGCTGAAATACTCAGGTGTCAATAGTTGTTGTCTGTCAGGTTAGAGTAGCCACCATTTGTGTTGGTGTAAATGTCTAGGAAATGAAGTTAAACATTTTTTTAGAATTTGGAAAACAGAAAAAAATGAAAAATCACCCAGCCCAGCAGAATCAACATGGATAAATGGGCCCAGCACGAAGTGGTTAAAATAATGTAGACGATTCTGAATAAAAACTGTTATCTGTTTTGTCCTATTCATCACTAGGAGAAACCACCTTCTCCATTTATTGATGTGAGTAATGCCAAAGCAGAGGAACAGAAGCTGAATGATCAGAGTATTGACACTGATGTATTGAATTTGGACCCAGTAATTCAACTAAAGCCACGGTAAGATTAGCAATTAAACTAGAAATAGTCTGAGCTCTGTGGGTGTATGTCAGGTCTTTTCTCACTGGAGTTGTGGCTGTGGCAATTTGAGAAATCCTTTTTAATTTTATGGATTTCATTTCCAATTGATCCCAGTTTTGGCTCCTGACTGAGGGGAAAAAATGTTACACTGTCAACCCAACTCTATCTCTATATTCTGACCAAAAAATTGGCAGTCAGATTGGTGTGGGGTTCGTTTTCCTCCTTCCACCTCTACCACCTACAGTTCAAATCCTGTCCAAATCCACCACCTCCCCAAAATGTGTGCAGATTTGTTTCAAGTGCATAAGTAGTGTGTTTGAAATAGGTCAGTGTTTTAAAACAGTATACCATGGTTTGGGGGCCTTTAGAGCGAGTGGATTACCAGCGGGGACAAAAGGGCTCTACCACCACAGCGATGAGCCACACAGCACCGCTGCTGGCTAATCTGGCCCCTGTTGAAAAGAGGTCAGCAGTGCACTGCGCCAGGTTCGTGAACAAAAGAAAATTACATAACACCGCACAATTAGGGCTCTTTTTACAAGGCTGCAGACCTGCTGAAATACTCGGACGTCAATAGATTTTGTCAGTCAGATTAGAGTAGCCATCAGACGGTCATTCGTGTGGGTGTAAATGTCCATGAATTGAAATGAATTTTTGAAGAATTTGGAAAACTGAACATTTTGAAAATATCCCGTGTGTTTGCACTGCATTTTTCAAACCACCTGGCAGCAAGTGGTAAAACGTTTTGTGCAAATTAAGTTCCATTTTGGAAGGCACAGTAAGACCTATGCAGATCAAATATGTCACAAATGAATCAGCATTTATGTGCTTATTCAAGATGCTTGGAAAATGAATCAGTTGATAAAACAATGGATTATTTTTCCCCTCCCCTCCAGTGGAAGTCTGTGCCCTCCTTTGATGGCTGCCCCTCCCTCATTTGAATTATCGCATTGTACATAACCCGCATAAAAGCCACAATTGATTGGTTTTAAGTGCGTTCTTGAAAAACTATGTTCACCCAGAAGTGCCCCCTCAGAAATATCAGCGTAGTCACACTGCAGGATGATGCAGGTCTTGATAATCAAACTTTAGCTGTTTCACTAGTACACCTCAGAACAACAAAGCCTTCATGTAATTGAGAGCTATACAGGGTGTACATGTACATTTGTTTGTTGTGTGTGACTTATTTTAATTTATTATGATTTTATTCTGCTTCACATGTTTTGAAATATGATGCCTTGTAGAGACCCAGAAGAATGGGTTGAACAGGTCTTCAGAAGGAATTTCTAAAGGTGTATAGGTATACACATGGATTTCATGATACTGATATTTGGAAGTTGTTCAAAAAGGAGAAGGTTTTAATGCATAAGAATGTGTTTCAAATAAGGGACGTTCTGTCAAAATTTCAGTCCAGGAGAGTGATTCATGTTGAAATTGGAGCATCTTGAAAACATCGTTTGACACGCGGCCGAATTAGTACTGTGGGTTGCGAAGAATGCAGTGAGCCAGTGTTGCCAGTGTTACTCTCATAATGCAGTCTCAGTCAATGGTCGTACTTGCCAAAGAAGTGAAAACTGTGAATGTTCAACCACTACTTGCACTATAGGGACTGCGCTTCACTTTTTTATGGTTCCTTATCATGTCAAAAGAATCATTACTGAGTACCACAAGCAAGGGGTCTATTCAAGGCAAAAGGGACTATTAAAGTTTATGGGAGTCAAAAATTTGACGTGACTCCAGAAGAGTGACATGCTCTCCACCAAGAAGAAGAGCTGAACTGTCTCACACTCAGGTACAGGCGTAATTGTGAAATAGTGTTTTCATTGGGCTGCAACGACAGTTTACTTTAGGATTTAATGATTTCAATATTCTTAATGTTACTTCATGCCCTCATACCATTTTGTGTGTGTAACAGTATTTAACAATAGGCCCTTCTCAAGAGAGTTGGACAACAGCAGTGTTACAGATCCATTAGGATGGGAAATAAGTTAAGGAAAGAAATAAAGCACAGAGAAGAAAGAGTCCACTGTAAACCACTTGTTTAATTTAGGGCCGTTAAATACATACACAGAACGTGATATTTGCTGCCCCCAGACACACACCCATTAGCAGTACTCAAAATTATTACTGCAGCAGGTTTGCCCACTATCCCACTAAGCCTGAGGTAAGGTTGCCTTCCATTTAAAAATACTATCAAAGGCTTAATAGACAACAGTCATATTTTGTCTTTGTCAATCACTGTTTATGTGTTATAATTAAATGTGTGTGCTTTATACGAATATGTACACTTAGATTAGGTATTGGGCAGTATACCTACATCCTGCCTGTATGCAAGAAGTACAGTCCCCTAACTACTATTGCTTGGTAGAATAACAGTGAAAAATTAATGCCAAATCTGATCCAAATGTAACATGAGTAACTGCAGAATTACATTAAAGTCCTGTGCTACGAGATAAATCAGTTATTGCAGGATCTAATCCTAGCACTTTAGGGTATTTGATAATTTTCTATTAAAATTGAAGAATTTAGGACTGTCAGGTTAAAAAAACATAATAAGTTCATTCCAAACATGTGAAGTTGTGTGGTGATTTCAATCATAATATTTGTATATTTTTTTCTCTTGATCAGGTTGGTTTCTTTAACTGAAGATATCTTGCTGCAAATAAGTGGTGCAAGATCCCTTACCTCAATCACAGTTCTTAATCTTCATGGCAATGGATTAACCAAGCTGAAGTACGTATCATTGCTGACATCCCTGCAGAAGTTGATTGTCAGTTTTAACGAGTTGTCCAAGCTGGAAGACTTGGCACACATGGTAAGATAAACTTTTAAAGACGGGCATCAGCAGCTGATTTGTATTGGGATGGCATGAGAACCTAAGGGTTAAGATGCCTTGATTTATACTGTCATCTGCATGCTCTGCATTACATGCTGTATGCTGTCTTAAGAGTCACGAGTACACATTAACAAAGTTTCTCTTAAACTTAATATTCATTTAATCACAGTTTATTCTTTCCCTGCAGTGATACCTTTGCCATCTTTTTTTATTTTTTAAACTTAATGAGTGATTTACCCAAGTAAGCATTCACATTTGATGTTTATAGTTTATTCAGGGGTGTGAAATCTCCATGTTTTAGCTGATTTCTGCCTTTTTGGTTGAGTGTTGAATTTCATTTTCTGCTTTTTTGCCACTGATGGGCCAGATTTTCATGACAACTGGTATGGGACTGAGTTCTTGTGTCATGCATTAATGTGTGAGTGTTACATGCTCAATGTGCATAGTTTTCTATAAGATTGAAAAAACATTTCTGGACATAAAACTCATCAAAATGTCTGTGCAACACAAGTATATAATTTTCCAAAGAGGCTCTGACTTGGTTAATATGTTTGACAAGAGCGATCCTCAAGTTACAAATCCACAGAAATAGATGTTAATGGAATTCACTATTGACGGGCAAGGTACCACAGTGCACACCATTATAATCAAAAGCCTGGACATGCAATGTGCATTCTTTGTAACTTAACCCCTTCTCACCGGGAAGCAGTAAGAGGCGCGTAAAAATTGAGGTCACTCAGTCTGCTTTTCAGCTATTATTCTCGGCCCACGCTCAAGCGAACACTGTGAAAGAAGGCATACCCTGGCTCTTGTATATATGATAATTGGTCTTTGTGCGTAGCCCAGAAATGAAAAGACAGATTTTGCATCATAATCACCAGCTTCACAATAGTCCCCACTTTGTAAAGAGGCAACGGGAATGTGGAAGCGTGAGTAGATCCACATGCCACCGAACAATGAGCCTTTTCACTGTGTAAATCAAAGCATGTAGAGCACGCAGGGCCACAAACCGAGAATTTGCGGTTTGGCAGGTGGCCTTCGTGGCCAAGCGAGGCTGGAATTCGGCTTCCAGAAAAAAGTCACGACGTCAAGGGGTTAAGAAATGAAATTTTGAAAATGTGGTCAATAGACTTGGGTGGCTCCAGAATTCTCAGAGCCAGTTCTGGCTCCAACAAAGAATCACAATTCTGAGTTAGAACTAGCTCCCAAAGATATAAAGAAAAAATCATAAGGTTTAATAAAACACATCAAAAATCTGTTGCTACACTATGCCAGTGCCACACACTTATGGCACAACAGACTTCCTCTTGGTCTTTTGTGGGTTTTAAGATTATCCACAGTCAGTATTCTGAATTTATGTTGGCTTCTTCATAGACCAGTTGTTGTGGTTGGAACAAATCTGCAACATCTGTGTACAACTCAGCACTGCTTCCTCTCTTTATTTTCCATTCAGTGTACATGTACATGTATATTCATTTAATAATCCAGTCAGAACAAGTGATTGCCATTGCTTTAGTACATGTAACTTTACCTGTGTACAAATGGGATCGTCATCCATTCCGGGGCACTTAGTGTATGGAGTGGATCCCGTGTACTTTTGAACATGTGCCAATGTATCTTAAAGGAACCAGGAAATGAATTTTTTTTAGAACCACTTTTTGTGTATCTCTATACAATACTTCCATGTATGAAAACTGTTTGACATCTTTTTTGAGTTACCTGAACTGAACGGTACACTTTTCCAAACATTAAAAATTGACCAAGCATTTCTGGACAAGTGAGGGCGCTTTTGCTTTGATGTAAATCCAGGAAGACATGGTTCCGGTTGCATGTTTTCATGTTCAAATTGTGAACCCCAGATTTGCTATCTGGGAACATTTATGTGAAAAGGATTTTCGTTGGATTATTGCCGTATATTTCATGTATTTACACAGCAATAAATTGCCAAAGAAAGTGAAATCTGCCACAGCGGTGGTTAAAAAAATCTAGACATTTCTGTGTACAAATCAGTGCAACATTGTTTACCAGGCAACATATGGGACGGAGGGTACCCCCCTTACCTGTCTAATCCCTATACACAATCTAGACTATTGATACCTAACACATCCCCCCCCCCCGAAGTCTGTAAAGAATTCCTGAGATTCCGATCAAACTAAGACCAACACAAAGGCTGGGGGGTTCTCCCCATCCCATATTTTGCTTCAAATGCAAAAAAGCATCAAAATACGGGTTAAAATTGCAAAACAAACATTTAAAATATGGTTAACTGAAACCAAAGATGCAATTTCAATTTTTTTTTTGGAAAATTTATTAAAATATTTCTATTTCCTGGTTCCTGTAAATGACCATTGACCATGTGTAAACTGCTCATTGTAGGCACTAGGCCTTCGTCCAAAGTAGGCACATCTACACGTAAGTATAAAATTCGAATGACCATACGTTTGCTATCTTGGCGGTACCATTGCCCAGGTCCATGCATTTAACCAGCTCTGTGCTATCGCCTATCAAGTGAGAAGTTGAGAACCAGGACCCTTGCTGGAATAATTTGCTCCAAGGGTCCGCTCAGGGCTTCTGGTATGACTGCCATATGACCATTGACCAAGCCAATTCAGATACAACACCACCTGCATTACATGGTGCATGGGATCTCAGGTTGTGCGCGCATAACCACAGGCTGGTACGCGTTGCTCATGCATTGCCGAGTTGAAGTACATGTACACAACGTAGTTCTGTTGTTATTGAAAACCTGAAGCACATAAGTCACTGGCTCCTTCATTGTCGCAATGGTAGCACACACTCTGTGGTCTGGCATGCAATGTTTAATGAGGCTGATGATCTATGTTTCATTGTTCAGCAAAAAACAGATGTACATTAACTCATGCGCTAGCGCTGTGTAGTCAACAATCTATTACTTGTGTTCTTTTTCATCAAAGACAAAACTTCAAAAACACACTGCAGCAGTTCATAAAAACAGGTTTAAATATTACACTGAAATTCAAAGGCTACTGATGAAACGATCAAGAGAAATGCCACAAAAAATGCCATACATGGACTCATTGGACTGAAGCAACACTGCCAAATGGATCATAATGTCTATCCTGATCAAATTCACTAATTATATAACAGTGGTTAACGGCGTTTTGACTTGTTGATGTGTTGACTTGTTGACGGTACTGTGCATATTGACGGTGTATACGAACGGTATTGTGTATGTTGATGGCGTGTTGACGTTAATTAGTAAGACTTCTGCAGTGTGTTTATTCCAAGATGGCCACCTACATGTACATGGCAAGGTTGCCAGGCCAGTGCTATACAAGGTTACCATGTTGGCTAGCCTTGATCAAGGTGTTTTACGATGATTTTTACAGCCCCGGCCATCAGGCCTGCTGTACCTGTGTTGCTGAAACACTGCACAATGTGTTTCGAAATACCCTTTACTGCAGCAGGTTGGCTTTATACATGTAGCTTTTAACATGTATGGTACATTGCACAGTACGTCAGGCCGTTATGCTTTGTGAGTGACATCCAATTCCCAGTGAAGGCATTACCCCACTCTCCGATTGTTCATGTGTGTGCTTTGATTGACGATCATTCACACTGTGAATTTATTTTAGAAATCAAAGAACGACTTTCTTGTGAAAAACTAAGCCAAAAAAAAGGAAAGAAAAAGGAGAGTAGTTGCGTTACACGATGTCTTGAAATAGAGAAAACGTAGGAGAAAAGACATGAAATAGATAGTTGTTGCATTACAAGATATTTTGGAATACAGGTAATTGTACATGAAGTAATTGGTTTCAAGTATAATAAACCTTGAAGGAGTTGCCCTAAAATTTCATGTACTATTTCATTTACGATGTCTTGGAATACATGAAACTTGGCACAAATGAGCAATTGATTCAAGTGTGATAAACCTTGAAACAAGGAGCAGCGCAAAGTGCTACTTCACAAATTTCACACATAAATTTAATCTCTTTTCTTTGACCGTTTATTAAACAAACATCACATGATCTAGCTTGTGTTCCAGTCTGGGTCCTAGTGTTTTGAACCTTTCCCCAAATTGTCTACCGATGTACACTCAAATGGAAATTGCAACAAGGCTGCCATGCCCTTGCTGATATTAAACATGAAAATTGGCTTCTCCTTGACAATCTCTTGGCAGCATTGTATTGTGAATTGCTGTTATTCAGTTGCATCAACGCATTGCAGCGAACAATGACAGGTTTGTTGTTGTAGTTTACGCCCGTGTATGTCACTACAAATTGAAGCATTGCACAAAGTGAAGTTCAATTAAGAAATGTCTTTTTTCCAGTTACCCAATTATATGCCTTCCTCCGTCAACCTTGGTCAGGTCTTCATCCCAATTCAGTTAATTAATGTGCAGGTCACTGGTATGCCTTTGCACAGGTGGTTTTCCTCAGTTTGCTGTTGTTGGCCATGCATTTTATTGGTGTTGTTGGCATTGTGTTGATGCATTGATATAACTTTGACTGGGATTGGTGATTTGTTTCTTCTCCACCTTTTCTTGAGGGATTTTGATGAGTGAGTATGAAATTCCAAGGTTGTGAATGTGGTCTTTGTTTGAGGAGACTGTGAACTGTGGTTCCAAAATTAGCTGTTTGCCAAATTTGCTTGTTAGTGGTGTAACAAGTCCCCCAACATCGGAAAGCCAAAATTTAAAATTAATCCAGTGGTGCAACTAATGCCACCTAAAATAACTGCCTAAGTTACGATGTGGGCATGAGAGAGGCATGAATAAGACAACCCAGCCAGTAGATGGTTAAAAAAATAGTGAAGATTCCATTGAACTAACTATGAAAGAATCATTAGTTTTGTGGATCCCCATGTTCCAGTAGTGAGTACATGCGTGTTCGTGGTATATCGTGTTATCAATTCTCCACCAGTACAGGCCATTTCTTAGTACGGCCTCTCAGTCTGGCCCTACTAAATTATTGCTGTGTAATTCGGTGAATCCTATAACATTTCTTTCAGATTGAGTTACTCTGCACATATTTCTACAAATCAATTATTCTATCACAAATCAAAAAGGAATTTTTTTTTATATTTTAAACTAAGTCCCCGCACTAAATTTACTCAAATCTGAATTTACTCTACGTGTACCTCACTTCTTTTGTTAAATTCCATAAATAAACTTATGTTTTTTAGACTTTGTTTAATGCTTGATGAACAATCCCAGATTGGGTGCTGATATACCAGTACCAGGGATACTTTCACAGGCTGATGAATTTATCATTAGATTTGCCAAACTGCTGGATGGAAGAATCAGCTAAACCCTGGCCATCGTCGGTTTCCACCACAACCTTACTTGAATTATTTTCTCTCTCTCTGACCGTTTTCTGTCTCGATCTCAATTGCATCTCTCGATTTTGGTTTCCCCCAGCTAAAAAAAAAAAAGTTTTGCGTCCATCCCCATGGCCCAACAATACATGTGTTATATAATTCGACCCCAATTTGTAATACCGTATGACGCAATGCGTAAAATAAAAGGCGTACACGCTGAATTGTCATTGGCTAAAATGCATTTGCGTTGCCAATGGCGATTGGATAAAACTTGTATGAACGTCATATGAAAACAAAATACAGTGTCGCATGATTCGAATGCACCGGAGAAATTTCTATGAGCACACCGTGACAGAATTGTCACCAGTTTTTAACTCTGCTTTAACCATGCGCCATTCCTGATATTTGCCTTTTGTGAAAAAGCCTAAGGACTTTGCAATCTATTACCATAGTATAACAATACGTTTGTTTTATTTTCTTTGTAGCCACAATTGGAGCTGATTGATGCAAGTTTCAACAAGCTTTACACGTTGGATGGATTCAGAGTAAATATTTTTTTTATTGAGTTTGCACGTGCAAGTATATAGATACATAGATCTCTGCATATTTTAGCATGGTTGCGTTATTTCTGGTAAACTGTTACCGTTGTTATACCTGTCAGTCATTGCTTGGGTACAGTAAGGATGGGAGTCACCCATAAGGAAGAAATGTTTGAAGGTAGTGTGGCAGCATTTCCGAAAATTTTAAAAGATATACATTTCCACAGGAGTACCACCAACACGTGGATGACTGTACAGAGTGAATGTTTATGAGTGCAGTGGTTCGCCTCTGATAATAAAACATTGAATCTGTCACTTCATGAATTTATTTCTATTGAACAAACTATGAGTCGCCTGTTATTTATTTTTTATACTGTAGCTGCCTAAATCCCTGCCGCCCAATGGATAGGTCGTTGATCCGATGTGATTGAATTATGTTTAGAAGTTTATTTCACTTGCATGGTTCCAGCCTTCATTTCATATTTTCTATTCATAGTAAGAAAGAGTAAAATAATATAGGAACAGGAACCAGTCTAACATTACATAAAACTACTAGTGGGTGGTGCTTCGGACATGAATCTGTTGCACAAAACCGTGGACGTAATATGAAAAGACTGTTAATTTTTTTCTCCAAACGGCAGTGGATTTATGGAGGTGTTGTATAAAATAAAGTAGAGAATGTTCATAAGTGAAATGAATGAAAAGTGGAATAATTTCCTAAGGTGACAGATGAAATATTCTTTTCCACGAGGCCAATATTTGTTTAATACCACATCTGAATGTGAACTTGTACAAGTTGGAGGTTTACTTTGCCTGTCCAAAGTCAGAGTAAAAAGTCAACATAAATTTTCTCAATTTGACTGCATGCTTAAACAGATGGCCCTTTGTGTCTTACAATTTAATAATTTGACAACCTAGTTAGTTCCTTTCTATTAGAAGCATAACCTTAATACTCAACTCAAAAACCATAACAATGGTGCATTTCTTGGACAGCTTGTCTTACCACTGCTGGATTGTTGCACATGACATTGATTTTGTTTAGAATTCAAGTTCGTAACTCAGCAACATCATGTGCAGGATTTGAACAACAATCTGTGTAAAATAAGGTGGCCTAGTTGGCCATTCCATTGCATGATTGAGGGCTATCTCTCTGTCTTCAAAGAATTCCCTTAATCTCTGTGAAATTAGTGTTGATGAAGCAGGTAGAAATGTGGAAGGTGTTACTAAATGAGAAGGTAAGTCATCATCCTCTTGTGTCAATATTTTTTTCCATAGAATGTTTATCCAGTGTTAGGATGAATAGAAATTGATCGAGTTGGCATCTGCCCAATTGGGAAAGAGGATGTTTCTACCTATCAATTTGAAAAACAATGGTACTTGCTTGACGCAAATGTTTGTTCCACTCATATACCAAATTATTGACTGACCCAAAGCAAAGGTACAACACCCAGTAGTAGGGACCGGTATTTACTAGAGCAGCCCCTCTTTTTCACTTCCTGGATCAGCGCGGGACTTAACCGACTTTCCAGATCAGCGCGGGACTTCCCCAAAAAAATTGTGACCCGACTTCCCAAACCGGCAATTGCGGAGCCCCCCAGGACTTTCCACCGACGGAAAATAGCTCAACTCTGGACGATCCAGGAAAACAAAACAAAAACAATTTCTCAACGATTTTATAAAAATCAAATGACTCTAGCTTTAGTCACCAAAATCGAATACGCTAAATTAGTCGCCGCTCACGCCACGTGGTTAGTCGTCAACGGCTACGAATCACAATGAGATTTAATCGCACAGGCAAAGTTAGACAGGCAAAACCAAAGGCACCGCATTTGTTTAATGAGAAAGACTAAGACTGGCAAAGAAGTTTACAAGCCGAATGAAATATTTATTTCCGACGATTTATGCGCCGCTAAAAAAATGAAAAATGAATAGAGACTATATAAATGGAAATGATAAACCATAAAACAAACGTGAATTGTTATTTTTGCAAAGACAAGAGAAATTCAGTTGACTTGATGAGATGTAATAACTCCACTTGCGGCGAGTGCGGCAGGTGTATAAATTGCGTATATTGTTTAAATTCATACGACTGCCAAAATTCAAGCGCCTTGGACAGTTGCGAAGATTGTTACGATTTGATCTCACGCTGTGAGAAAAAATATTTTATGAATGTGTGATGCCCATTCCGAGTGACAACGTATTTGACGCGTTGCACAGTAATTACGATCATAGAAAATTCACTGGCCATTCATTTTTGTTCAGACCAAGAGAATGATAAAATAGCAAGGGAATAAAATCAGGAGAGTATTCCAAATAAAGTCTCTGGGGAGCTTTCATCCAACCAAAGATTGACAGCTGACCCGACCGTCTAGTACAACAGTTGTTCCGGTAGACTTGGTTGCGTCTTCTGATTGACAGCCCGCCTTGGCATTTCTTTTCCTAACACCCTACCCGCCAAATATAGTAATACTTCCTTCCTTGACATTTTCTATCCTAACCTAGATCACGTGTGGTTTTTATTAATTTCCACTAACACAACCGCCCAGTTATTTTATTCAGAGCACCCAACCCACCAAAAATATAAATATTTTTATCCCCCTTGGCATTTCTTTAAGGTTTTAATTTTTTTCTGCACCATGGTCTCTTTTTTATTCCGAGCACCCAACCCGCCAATAATATTAATTCTTCCTTCCTATCCTCTGCATTTTCTATCCACACCTTGATCACTTGTGGTTTTTGTTAAGAATGTATAAAATGTGGGAAGTCGGTACATCAACGGAACAGAATGAGCATTTATAAGAGGGAAGAAAAAACATCTTATCGGACCAAACACTGTTGACACTTATTGAGCCAAGGCTCAAGAACAGCTTGTATGCACGTTCTTCGCATCTTTGTTGTGACCCTGCCATTCTCGCACGCGCAAGAACGGTCAATTAACATAATAATACTCTCCGAGTCACTCATGCAAGCGAAGGGGCAGGAACGGGTTCCGAGGTGCTCTTCGGAATGGGGGTGAACGGGAGGGCGTGCAGAACGGAAGGGAACGCGTGCGAACGGTCTCTATATTTTTGATCCCGTCCCAAACTCGGTATTTTTATCGATATAACTCTTCATCCAAGGCGCTTGTTTAAATGACATCATGTGATGCACCTGTTTTAACTGGAGACCAAGTTCTAAATATTTCTGCAACGTTCGATAATGAACCACATATTTATTCTTGGTGTTTAAAGTCGACACGAGTTTATCTACCGAGGTACTTCACTCACCGTGGGGTGTTAAGTCTTTTTGGTATTCTGACAGCCATTCATTTGGAATCGATATATTTTCCGGTACCAGTGGGAAGTTGTTAATAAGAGGACGTCCGTCTCGACATATAAATCGTGGTAATCTCCGAGATGACAGCAGTTGAACGTTTTCCATATGTTTTGAGCTCGATAATATTCTTACTCAGTAACAGATGCCTGCCTCAACGACCTGTAAAAAGTGGCTTGAGGAGGCAGTTGTGATTCTTCAAATTTATCAAAGGAGTTTATGTGTTCGTACGGGTAAATCCCCTTTTCTAAAAGTAAATCTGCATTATTTGGGAATCTTTCGTGGAGTAGATTAAAATCGTCGGGTGAACAATTCTTAACCAGCCGATCGAGAGATGCAGCCATGAAATGAAATGTAATTCTTGGTGTTTTTAGTGATGACTTTAATTTTACTCCTGTGCTCCCTGCATAATTAGATACGCGTCGTATTTGCACCTGCTGCGTAAATTGTGTCGAGTTGGAAGGAATGATCACGTGGTGCTCGTAGACGGTAAGCATAAACAGCTGAGGCACGCGCGAGAAAACGAGCCACTGCCTGATTTAGCGACAAAACTCGACACGGATTTATACAAAAGTGGATTAATTATTGAATACGACGTTGACATTGAACATTTAATTAAAGTAGAAATCCCACCGAAGTTAATAGACGCGGCCGAATAAAAATGAGAAGAATTTATGACAAAGCCGGGAAAATCAGAACCATGTCAAGTATATATCGTTTCAGACGACCACAAGCATCTCAATGCCAACAACTGGGACCCCAATGTTACCTACGGTCCCTTTGACCCGAGTAAATAAATTATTTCAAAACCTGTGATTAAAGAAGGCACCCACTTGAGTCAATGCAGCTCACCCATTTTTTACCATCACAACGGCCAAAATAAACGCCTGTTGATTATGACGAGAGAACCCTGCTACGGTATAAACCTGCTTTACAAATACAGCACTCGAGATAAAACCCCCGAAAACATCAAAGGCCGTCAAATTTGCTATCAAATACAACAACCTACGACAAACATACTCGATCACATAAATTTGGCCGTTTATAAATTTGTTGAATCTCAAGAGTCGAATCTCCCGTCTAACACTGTAAACAAATGTATGTTAAAACAGATCCCTATGCCTCTCTATTTGATCACCAAAAAGACTCATTGACTCGTCAAATATGGATAAATTTATCAATAAGAGATGCGACGCACAATCATTTATTTGTCCAAAAGACGTATACTACGGTACCCACTGTTCACTGTCGTGCGGCGCCAGCGTTCGGTATAGAGTGACAGCGGCAATGTTGAAAATTAGAAACGACGGACTAATTTCAAATAAGTCGGTGTTGCAAGCGTTTAGCGGATATGGATTTGAATCTGGATCTGAATCTGGATCTGGATCTGAAACTCCCGTGAAATTAAAAGTTGATTAAATTTGAATACTTAACTTATGATGAAAAAATCAATTGAACCTCGGTTATTCCGAGGAATAACCGAGGTTAATTTTTTTGCCTTAAATAAATGGACTATTAATAAAAAATGACAGACGCAGAGATTTATCATTTAACCGGCTCATTACCTAAATGGCCAACCCCACCATCACGACCAAAAAACATGTGTGATCATTATGTAGTAGAAATAAACGACAGATATGCGTGTAAACATTGTGGTATAATTTTGGGGTGGGTTTCCTCTTACACCCCTGTAG